ACAAAACTAAACTAACTTTATTGATGTGACGCAAAAATTGTTCAAGAAACTTCGTCACGTGGTGGTCCAGTGTAGGTAGTATTCTACAATAAGCTGCGGTGGTTTGTGTCTGAACTACGTGAAAAAGATATCTCAAACGTGGTGGTCCAGTATAGATAATATTCTACAAAAAGCCGCCGCAGATTCATTCTGCTATATTCGCCATCTATTGCAGCTGCATTGCAGTTATAAGGGGTGACTAACAACAAAACTTACGGTCTGGCGAAGCTCATTTATTTGCGCTCTTGCTGCGTCTAGCTGAGCCGATTGTGTAGCCAGTTGAGCTTGTTGTTGTTCGTTCTAAATGCATATAACAGAAAAGAAGAATGTGTACAAGTTAGTTTGTGTAGCAATAAGTATATTATAGTATTTGTTTTGCTTTTTGTGAGCAACAAAACTAAACTAACTTTATTGATGTGACGCAAAAATTGTTCAAGAAACTTCGTCACGTGGTGGTCCAGTGTAGGTAGTATTCTACAATAAGCTGCGGTGGTTTGTGTCTGAACTACGTGAAAAAGATATCTCAAACGTGGTGGTCCAGTATAGATAATATTCTACAAAAAGCCGCCGCAGATTCATTCTGCTATATTCGCCATCTATTGCAGCTGCATTGCAGTTATAAGGGGTGACTAACAACAAAACTTACGGTCTGGCGAAGCTCATTTATTTGCGCTCTTGCTGCGTCTAGCTGAGCCGATTGTGTAGCCAGTTGAGCTTGTTGTTGTTCGTTCTAAATGCATATAACAGAAAAGAAGAATGTGTACAAGTTAGTTTGTGTAGCAATAAGTATATTATAGTATTTGTTTTGCTTTTTGTGAGCAACAAAACTAAACTAACTTTATTTATGCGATGCAGAAATTGTTCATCAAGCTTTGTAACGTCTGAACTTTATTTATAAATTTATTTATACTATAGAGAAGTCTATCTACAGATTCGAAAACTACCTGCCACTACTTTGCATGCATTTTTCAACAGAGACTGCTTATAATATTAAAGTGAAGTATAGGCAGGCAAGGATCACGTTCAGTTGGTTAAAATTCAGATGAAAAAATGTTCCCATCTATTTTGCGAATCGATAAATTAGTTGTACACTATTTTTCCTACAAATCCAGTAAAAACAATTCCTTTATTGGATCAGTGTTAATACTGAAGAAAACTCTATCAGTTCTGACTGTTCTCTCTAAAGTTCGAGTAAGAGCAATCCTTTATTGGTCCAGTTAAATAGAAGAATGTGTACAAGTTAGTTTGTATAGCAATAAGTATTTTCATTGTTTTGCTTTCTGTTAGCAACCAGAGCTAAACTAACTTTATTTATGTGATGCACATCAAACTTTGTATTCAGAAAACGTCTGAACGTTATTTAAAAAAATATTTATACTAGATTCGAAAACTACCTGCCACTACTTTACATTTTCAACAGAGACTGCTTATAATATTAAAGTGAAGTGTAGGCAGGCAAGGATCACGTTCAGTTGGTTAAAATTCAGGTGAAAAAATGTTGCCAACTATTTTGCGAATCGACAAATTAGTTGTACACTATTTTTCCTATAAGTCGAGTAAAAACAATCCCTTTATTGGATCAGTGTTATTACTGAAGAAAACTCCATCAGTTCTGAACTGTTCTCTCTAAAGTTCGAGTAAGAGCAATCTTTTATTGGCCCAGATAAACAGAAGTGGAAAACGGAGTGTTCAGAAAAACTGTGGTCCTTCGTACGCGGAAACATGAGCAATTTTCTCCGAAAATGCAAAATGAAGACATTACGGGGCATGAATTACTATACTGTAGTCACCTGACGTAATTAGCTCTGTCTTATAACTTCATGCGTCTGCTTAAATAGATTAAATATAGCCTATTTATGAATTTTATGGTTGTAAAGTTAATTTTCCCCCTTAAGCAGGGAATTCCATTGACGGTATTTTAAAAGTGAAGGTTTTCAATTTTTACCTCTTCTTCAACTGACGCTTTTCTTGCAGTCAGGGCACTATTCTCCACTTGTATGTCACGCATCTTTTTGCGCAACTATAAAGTAAAAAAACAACAACAAACAAGTCATACAGTAAAAGTATAAATACCAAGTTTAACAATCCTTATCAAACAACCTATCTTGGAAATATTTGTAATTCAGAAATGATCATGAAGGACCTTGTATGACTCATGTACAAATTTATGACCGATGTATTAAATTAACCAGACCACGCTAGGTGGAAATTCTTCCCAACTATCTGATTGTCTATACTTAAACCTTGCACAGGTTGCTTATTTCTACAAGGACAATCAAAAGCCAAAGGATATCCTAAATCAATCCAAACTTGTGGTAATTATGCATGGTTCATTTCTTCCTGTACCTAAATCAATCCAAACTTGTGGTAATTATGCATGGTTCATTTCTTCCTGTACCCCCCCGACAATCACTCGGGAGATGTACACCAACACTTCCCGGGGGGGGGGGAGAATTTTGTTAGGCACCTTGTCCGGGGGTGTTTGTTCGAAATTTCACGTTGGCGAGCTTGTTTCTATGGCGTCTCAATACTTGAAGAAAAGTGGAAAACATGGGCCCACTTGCACTCCACTGATTTTTTCTTATGTATTTAAACATGCCTGGAGATCAGAGATTGTATTGCAAGTTGCCAAAAATGCCTACAGATATTTCTACAGATATTTCACAGCACACTCCCTATATCAGGGCTTTTCAGTGACTGGTTACATTATGAATAGATAGATAGAACCGGACTGACGTGAAGCAGACCGAGGTAGACTTTGAGCTTACAAATGGCGCTTGAGCAGCCGCTATTAGTCCATACCTCATTAATGATCTGCCTCCAAACCTATGTGCCTAACCCACCCTCAGGACTGCCTGTCAAAGGATGGGATTTGTGAAATTTTGATAACGTGTTTACATTGTGCAATAATAGTTTGTGCGAATATTATCCTAGGGTGAAGAAAACAGGAAGAATTGAACAATGCATAACTGGCCTGTTCAACTAAAAACGCTTTTGTCCAATAAAAAACGCCCTTGTCCAATCCTATGACCCCGAGGAGGCTCAATCATGGAAAACAACTTGTACTTCATGTAACGTTGCTCGAAACATGTCAAGACGGCTAACTTGTTGTTTTTAACACATTTTTAGCCTAGCTTTTATAATCTTTGGACCCGCAGTAATTGGCTGACGCTGTTGCGGTGCTCCTGCCAAATTTAGAAGTCATTTGTTGTAATTTCTGTTATGTTATGTAATTTATATATAGTAATTTTGTATATTTTTTGTTGGCGAAGCTAATAAAACTAAAACAACTATAAAACAAATTTTAACCAGAGCACTCTTTTGACTCACACAGTACCTTCTGTTCAACTTCAAGTCTTTTTTCTACTATGGAATTTAATTGTTCCTGCATCGCTGCATTTTGCTGCCTTTCATCATGGAGATTCTGTCTACAAGTTGTTAACTATAAAGAGCAATAAAACATACAAGTCATATTTAAAAAGTATTAATTTTTGGTGTGTGCTGGAACAGTAGTCGCCATATGCTGTCAACAAGAAGTTTAAATATATGTATGCCAGTGGACGGTTCACTTCTCCTGCAAACAAGCTCTTTGGTTAGGTTAAAGCCTGTGCATCATCCTTAAGCATTCTTTGTTTTTGATCCAGTAGACGCCATGTACGCTACAGCGTACCTATTTTTTCTAATTCTAATTAGACTAAGTACAATATTTTGTTCTGTTGTGTTATGTTCTGTTGTAAAATGATATAGTAATCTAATAATGCCCATAACGTAAGTTGATATTGGCCATCTTGGAATTTTAGTTTTGCTGTGAGTAGGAAATTCCTTTTAAAACTTTCTTCGATAAGCCATTTATGCTTTTCATCTCTTGTTGTTTCTCAAAAAAGACGTTTTCTTTTAACACAAGTTACGTTATGAAAGCACTTGCCAATTCTGTACCATTGTACTGTATACTGAATAAGTATTGTGTTTTCTATACACAAGTTTAGACAATATGGTTCAACAGTCAATTATTATTGTTTGCACATGGGTTAGTAATTGTGTGTGTGTGTGTGTGTGTGTGTGTGTGTGTGTGTGTGTGTGTGTGTGTGTGCGTGTGTGTGTGTGTGTGTGTGTGTGTGTTTGTCCATTAGCACAATAACTCAAAAAATATTAAACCTGGTTAATACGAAAATTTGTAGGGGCAATGGTCATAAACCAAGAACAAATCAAGTGAATTTTGGTTCAATTATGGGGCTTCTGTGGCCAAGTGGTTAGCGCACTTGCCTTTCACCTCTAAGGTCGCAGGTTCAAGCCTCAGTGAGAACTTCTCAATGTGACTCGAACCCAGTCCTCATGTGAAAAGAGTAAAAGTCAACGCTCTGCTGAAAGTCGTGGGTTTCCTCCGGGTACTCCGGTTTCCTCCCACAGGGAAAGTTGACAGGGTGGGTTAGGTAAAAGGGCCCACAGTAATTGGCATATGCTGTTGTGGTGACCCTGCCCTAGTTGGCAAAGCTAAATAAATAAATTTGTTCTGTTCTGTAGTTGCCCAGCCCGTAACCTGGCAGAAATGCACCAATTCTGTTACGAGTCTCACTCTTCGAAAATCTGATTGTGTATTATCAGTGGTGCCAACCAGGAATTTATCTTTGAAGGGGGGGGGGGGACTTATTAATTTGTGAAGTCTAGGGTGGTCAGAAATTGAAGAAAAATGTATAGGTTTTGATAAATCACCTTTTAACAGTGTTGAATATTAATTTCAGAATACAGGGGTAGATCTAGCCCCATCTGTAAGGAGGGGTGCAGGTTTTCCTTGGGGTGGCACATGAAATCACCATAGCTGCCAAGGTGGAGTGATCCACATGCATGAGACGCCATCTGAGGATGCAATTTGGGTCTGATATCGAATTCCCAGCGTTTCATTCCCAACACACAACATATTCACAATTTGCTGTGTAATAGCCGCACCTTGGATGCTGTTATCAGATAGCATTTACGCACAGCAAACAGGCCAATCTCGTTCCCCGAGCCTGCAATCCTCGGGAAGGAACGCGAGACTCTGGGATAATCCGTTTCAGGGAGGAATCTGATTGGCCGTTGAAATGGAATGCGTAGTTAAATCTTAGCCAGCATTCCTGGCTTCCGGCAACGGATTATCCCAGAGCCTCGCGTTCCTTCCCGAGGATCGCAGGCTCGGGGAACGAGATTGCAAACAGGCGCAATTACGGTATCAAAGGTGTTGACAGCAAATTCGCACTGATAATAAACACCTACCCACTCTATTCACGAGATTAATTTACTGACTAATTTCATAGTGTAAAATAGAAGAACTAAATGCTAAAGTTTACAACGCTCTCCAGATTTACGGGTTTTTTTAATAAACTCTGCAGTCGAAATGCGGCCAAAGCAGCTCATGCGCGAGATAAATTATACTGCGCATGTGAGTGTGAGAAAATATGCTGAGGCGTGTGTCACACACATAATGCGCGAGACTTGGTAGGTATGAATCACATGCGCTAACAGTAGAATTTCCACTAATTTAAAAGTAGAAAATGTATGGTCAATCAGATTTTTTAGGGTGGTGCTGGAGTTCTCTGGGGGTGTGCTAGACATCACTAGGTGGGTGCAAACTACACTCGGGGTAAGGGCCCTTGGCCACTGCATATTGTCTATTCTTAAATCATAAATATTCAAAATATACCTCGTCCTGCAATTCATTTTGTGCGCTTCTGCTCTTTTCTTGTTCTAAGACCAGCTATAACATTTACAATATAAAAAGATCAGACAAATTGAGAAACACTCAAAATCAGGTCAACTCCCTTGAGATAAAAATTACAGATGCCATATATTATTGTAATTAAAGACAAAACAATAGAAACTCGTTAACATTTTAATTATTTATGTTTCAGCTATTTATTTGCGCGTCATCTTCAAGATACGACTGTAAATAAATAGTTGAATGTAGAGAATTTTTAATATGTTAATAATTTATGCTGTGTCTACTGTTAATTGTTTTGTACCTGAGAGATAAGGCTGAACAAATTTACAGTGACAAACTTGTAAACAAACTAAAATTTGGACACTAAATTGTGAACTTCACATTCTTCTAAAAACAGGACAGCCATATTGGTTACATCATAAAAGATATGGGCAGACAGACATGTCTGCTATATTTGAACAAAGGAAGTGGTCATTATTTATGGGGAGGGGGAGTTGGTAAATGGGGGGGGGGGGGAA